TAAGTGTACACAGCACAGTTACACCAGTTTCTAACATGCACCATTCTGTGACATTGATGACATTCTATGATCGATTTACAATCTGTCCTACCTTTTCCTGAATTGTTCCTTTCTATTTAGATAAATTCACTATCCGATAGATTGCTGTCTTTCCATTTGCTGTTGACAATTTGATCACATATAGATAGTTCTTGAGAACATAATGCTCAAGACAGCCTATGTCTACTATTGTGAGCCTCTGAGTCAACTAAGACTCTATTAAAAAATAGACCGGAACCTTGCTCTGTCCTGCACCGTTCTCACGATCTCTACCACGCTTGAGCGCATGTGGCAGCCATGGTGTCAGGTCATCAGGTTGAGGGGCTTCCTCTCTTTCACTGACCCTCCACCATGCCCAGCTTGTTGTCTTTCCAAAACGAAAAATATGCCCAAAGATAGTGAGGTGAAGTTTCTCCATCTGAGCTTCAAAGGAGCACTCTTGGTGCACTTTCTTCAGATATATTTTCTAATAGTTAAGTAAGCTGAACTGTTGTTGGGTTTTATGAAACTAAACATCATAAGTAAGCTGAACAGTTGTGTTTTGAGAAGGAATAGTTTTTGGTTTAAATGTAAAGGTTATCTGAGGGCAGTAGTCTCAGGCGTTCATCTACCCTTTGGGGCTCCAGGAAATGTGAGGTTCAGGAAACTTTGACATTCTTTTCTATTTTCCCCCCTTTTAATCATAATTCTTATCTAGAACAAAATTTCCAGATTAAAATGTACAATGATAGTAGCTGGTAGTCATCCAATTGATTTGGTCTCATGGCAAAGGAGACCATTGTTCATGGAGGCAATTAGCCACAAATTTTATATCATCCCTTTATTCTTTCCTTCTTTCATTATGCCAGGTAAATATAACCAGTTGTTGTACCTTATATACCTGCATGCAAGCTTCAAAGACTCCAGACACTATACACAAGTTAGAAGGTAGAACAGAAGCAGCAGTTCATGCACCATAAACCCAGCACCCTAAACTGCCAAACCAGGAACCAATTCCTGTATTGGTTTGGTTTGTACATTAGCAGCCTCAGTAGCTGCTATTTCTTTCTGTAGGCTTTGTTATAAATATATCTGTCACACAACTTTTACTAGCTCAACTTTTACAGATGCAAGACAGCAATTACAGTAATCATGTGTGTATTAATCAATGCAGTATTCCCATCATCATTAAACCCCCTTTTCCCCTCCTTCCCATGCCTCGTACACATGAATAAGTGTTGGTATTTATACATTTTCCTTTTTGTATCTTTTTATGTAAGTGGAGTTATTCACTATTTGTTCTTGTGATTGATTTATTCCTCTCAGCCTAATGTCTTCATACTTTAGCCACATCATAGCATTTATTAAGGTTTTGTTTTGCCTACTGGCTTAGTAACAGCCTACTGTATGAAAGTATTACATTTTGTTTATCCATGTGTATATCAATAGGCATTTTGATTTTCTCCACTTCTGGGATATTGTGAATAGCACTGCATCATCATTGATATGCAAGTCTCAGTGTGAGTCTGTGCTTTCAAGTCTTTGAAGTATGCATGACTACAAGTGTAATTGTTGGGGTCATATCATAGGTCCAGGCCTTTATACTTTGTTTTTTTATAATGATCTTTATAATTACTTGCTATGTATCAGAGAGCTGGACAATGACTAAGGATGACAGAAGAAGAGTCAATGCCTTTGAGTTGCAGTGCTGGAGAAGAGTACTGAACATACCATGGACTGCCAAGAAAACAAATAGATCTGTCTTGGAGAGGGTGAAACTAAGTTTTTCGTTGGAGGATAGGATTTTGAAGCTCTGTCCCACATTTTTTGGGCACGTGGTCAAGAGGGACTGTCCTTGGAGAAGGATATTGTGCTTGGAAGGGTGGAGGGACAGCGCAGGAGAGGAAGATCCTGGATGAGATGGAGTGATACAGTAACTGGGGCAGTGGGGATCAGTGTGTCCGAATCAGTGAAACTGGCTCAGAATAGGGCAGGCTTCAGATCTGTTGTACACAGGGTCGCTATAAGTCACAGTTAACTTGACATCCCCTAACAATAATTTGTTGTTGTTGTTGTTAAGTGCCGTTGAGTCCTAGTGACTCATAGCGACCCTATGAACGAAAGTCCTGAACAGCTGTATAACTTTCATCCTTTCTCTGGATTTGTAGGGTTTCCAGAGGCAAGCTATTATGGAAGTGGATGCCACTCCTGCTTCCAACAATAGAGTAAACCTAATTTTTTGAGGAGCAGCTATCTTGTTCTTCATGGTGGCAATCCCACCAACAATGAGGCTTTCCGTTTCCTTACACCCTTGACAGCGTTTGGTTTTTATTCTACTTTTTCTTTTTTTGTCTCTGTCATCTAGTTGATGAGTGCCACTGAGTTTGTTGCAACATATGTACAGCATAACCTCCTCACAGTTATTTCTGTGCTTGAGCCTGAGGTTACAACCACTGTGCCTATATGGTATTTCGTTATGGTGAAACAAATTCTTAAAATTGTGGGGATCTGTATAGGGACTACCTGTTTTCATGGCTTAACTAGATATAAACATTTTGACTAGAAGTTAGTGAAACTGATTTTTCACCCAGTGTGTTTCACAAGAAGATAAGGACATTGTAAATGTCATGAATTTAATACTATTATAAATAGTTTTCTTTAAAAATCCAGTGAACCAGAACCTATATACCCAGAAGAGAATATTCACCTTCAACAGTCTTCACAGCCCACTGCCTATTCTCTTTTACAATAAACAAAGGTGTTAAAGCTTCCATATTTTCCCAAATAATTTATTATGGTTTGGGTAAAAGTTTGCAGAGAAAATTACTTTCTATTTCATTTTTGATGACTTTGAATTTTTCTAGATTTCCTTTATGTATTCCACATTTTAATCCTTCTTTTTTATATATATTGGAGTTTTCGGTTAAGACAGCAGAAGTGATGATTTATTGTACACATTCCATCCAACCACAACTCAGCACAGACTTAGCCCAGAATATCACATGTCTGGGGCAACGGCTCAAAAGGGCTTGGTTTCAAATGAGCAAGGTGAGCCTCTCAGAGGTGTTCATGGCAAGCGAATGGTGTTGGAAATTCTAGATCCCTTGAGATGTTCTAGACAGGAGCATGCAGTCAGATTGTACCAGCATCCCCTGCCTGTGCCATTCTCTGCTCGTGCAGCTGAGATGTCTGTGGGTGCGCATGCGAACATGTATGTGAACATCTACTTCATCTTTCCTCTGTTATGTTTCAGCCTGCATGTTTGCTTTTTCCTCCACTTGCCCCTCATGGTTTGGAGGTCTCAAACAAGACGGCACTAAAGTAGACAGAGCACATTCTAATTCTTAATGGATGTTTTTATAATGGCAGCTTCTCATTTTGAGCCATGCTGTTCAACAAATGAAGATTAACGTTTAATCCATTCACTTCCTTAAGATTGACTCAACTCTGATGAAGCAACTCTTTCCAAGTCATATTGTGAGTGCTTTCCAACCTGAGGAGCTGATCTTCTGCCATTTCTGCTGCTTTGCATAAGGTTTTTGCCAAGTTTTTGAGAAGTAAACCGCCAGATCCTTCTTCCTAGTCTAACTTAGCTTACAAGCCCCACTGAAGTGTATCCAAATGGCATAGCTTGCAGCATCCAGCAACATGCAAGCCATCATACTACACACTCTGGCAGAATTCAAAGAGACAGAACTGAGGACTCTTAGCTCTCAGTGAAAAAAATGCCACATTGAACAAAAAGCCACACTGAACATGTATACATATCTCTATGGGGTGGACTAGAACCCCTCATAAGATTTCAAAGCTGTAATCTTCACAGAAACTCATTGCTACAGATGACTGGAGGAGTTGATGGGTTTTAACTCTAATATTTTTGGGTAACAGCCAACACTTAACCCTACATCACCAAGGCTCCTTTCAAGTATGCACATAAAAATCTAAAACCCAGACCCTCTTACTGTCAGGTTAACTCCAACTCACAGCAGCCTTGCAGGCTCTCATAAAAGGTTGTTCTCTAAAATAGAGGGCCAACAAGAAAAAAAAGAAAAGAGGAAGCATTTGTAAAAAGAGCAGTAAAAAGAGCAAGGGCCACGGGGATGGCTTTAACTTTTTTTCAACTTCACAAAGGGGAACTGTCCCCATCAACAACATCACTAACACAAAACCAATTCCTGTGTGGTCAGATGTGTCCTCATGTTCCTGCACCTCTGGCAAATCTGATGTGATAGCTCACAGACCACACAGGACCATATTGAGGAAATCAAAAGATTACAATCCAGGTTAGTAGCAAAATGCAGTAGGACAGCTTCCAAAATGTGCTTGCAGGGCCCCCCCAGCCTTGAGCCTAGTGTCTTTAGGCTAACGTTACAAAGCTCTCATCCTGCCAATTATGAATCCTCCCTTCAGCCCCAAGTAGTCCAACAAACTTGGGCAAATGCCCTTAGCTCTGGTTCCATGGTCTAGCAGTCCTACAGTCCCATCTCATGTCAAGTCTCTGGCTCTCTGCTGTACTGCTGGGGCTGCAAATCGTGAAGGCCCTAGTCAAGCTGGTGCAAGAATCTCTTGTCCCAGAGGACACACTACATTCTCTTGCTGCTGCTTTGCTGGTGAATTCTGCTACTGGATCCAGTCAAGTTAATGGTGAGACTAGCCAGGCCCCTTGTGAACAGGCCAGCATGCTCTATTTGCATATTTCTGCCCATCCACACGGCAAAGGTTAGGGGAGCCACTTTGGACAATAAACCCTTAACTCTACAGAATTGAATAAGATAGATGGACACAGCGGCTCCCATCGTGGGCCCAAATATAACAGTGATTGTGAGGATGACACAGGACTGGCCAATGTTTCATTCTTTGATACATAAGGCTTTTATGAATCTGAGCAAACTTGAAGGCACCTTAAAACAAGACTTAATAGCCGTGCTTTGTCGAGTATGGAAGTGGCATTAACAGACCTCCTTTTCCTTCTGTATTTATAGTCTGCAACAGTGAAGCTGTCAAAACCAGTGGCTCTGTGGACCCAGCAGGATGTCTGCAAGTGGTTGAAGAAACATTGTCCGAATCAGTATCAAATCTACAGTGAGTCATTCAAACAGCATGACATAACTGGTAAAGTATGCAGTATCCAAAATATTCCCCTTCTCTTTCCTCTCCCCATCCCGGTGGCCTTTTCCCACATCCTTGCAAGGAAACAGCTTACTGCTGGAAGTCTCTGCTGTGAGTTTACTTTCAAGGGGTGATGAATTCCAGATCACTGTGAGCCAGGCAACTTAACAAGTATAAGTGGTTATTATGGGGAGTCGAGGCTCTTGTGTATCTCTTCTAAGAGTGTGTGGGACTCAGGATAAGGGTTTAGAGAATCCTAGAGAAAATAAGAGCGTGCCAACCCTAAAGAAAAGGAAGAGAAGAGGCTTTTCAAATGAACTTAGTTACAGAATGAATACAGTAGATCTTCTTAACAGAAATGGAATTTGAGAAAATAGGAAATTTTAAAAGCACATTTTCTCAATATTCAAGTAAAGAGCCTGGGTGCCTCAACTTTTAAAGTGAAATATAATAGCACCAACTGACTGCCCTTGAGATGACTACCTTCAGGGCACCAATTAAGACTTTGCTTTAGGTCAAGAGTATTCGAGTGTTCTAGTGTGACGGTCAAGGAGCACCTAGAAGCATCAAAAATGACCATGTCATGAACTGCGCAGCTCACTCCTTCAGAGGCAGCCTCTCAATTAAGAGGTGAGTGTTCACAATAAAGGGAGTATGACCTCTGCCTGCCGGGTAGGGCTTCACCTCCCCTCTGTGCTCACATTCACTGCAATGAAAGAGAGAACAGGTGCTGGACACCCCAACCAGAGCTCTGGGGGTGGGGGGAATGTAATGATAGACAAGTCCTGATCTGCTAGTGCAGAGCTTCCTTTTTCTTTTCTCAGAGCAAGACTCTTAAGTAGAGAAGTGACTTGCCCTTGAGAAGCTTAGCAGGCTTGATTCTAGGACTTCCCAGACATGTAGTTTCTATCTTGTTCTTTCAATGAGGAAGAAACTATCCTAACATCTCTCATTGGACCCTTCACTGCTATTGCTTTGGAAAGAGACACATGAAGGGTCAAGTATTTTGTTCTGTGGCTCAGTTCCTCGCCTGTGTCTGTGAAAGCTAGAGCAAAACCTTTCACTTCTGAAATCAGGACTCACTGATGATCTTCAAAGAGTCCTCCATGGAACCCTAGCATGTACTAGAGGCTGCCAGGGGGCTGCTTTGGGTCCAGATGGATGCTTCATCCATTGATGCTTCCTCTATGACTGTTTTATATCTTTTAATTATGCAGAAAACTCGATTTGAGAAGAGGGTTCTAGCGTACAAGAATGTGTTTTTTTTGTTTTGTTTTATTTATTTATTTATTTATTTTAGGTTTTCTTTTTTTTCTATAATTATATTTTATTAATTTTCATAAACATTTACAGAGATTTTGGGTTTCCATTCATTCATTGTTGCACTCTTCTCTCTACCCTCCTCCCAGTTTGTTCTTGTCCAAATGCCACAGTGCTTGTCAAAGCCAGTTCTGATTAATCTTCTTTGTCAGTGTGTCCTTTGCCATTCCCTATCACTCCTCCCTGAGAGAGACTTCACCCTGAGTCATAAGGAAAAGGGGATGACATATTCTCTTAGCTACTTCCTGCTGAAAAGGGACGCTGTGGGTTTCAGGGTGAAGATCTTCTCTCACTACTCTAAAGGGCCCCTTTGGCAGTAGGAAACACATAGACTATTATGGAGATTGATTTTGGAATTTAGATGCACTCTTATTGATTGTGCTTGGCCATACATGTTCATATCCTTGAAGATGTATCATGGGGGTGTTGCAACCTAGAAGACACAAATTTGACTAACAAGTTATAAGTACATGAGTCCAAAAATTATGGAAAAGTAAAAGAAAAGATTCTTTCATTGTTTTACAAACCCTCCCCCAGGTCCCCTCCACCATGTAGCCCTTGCTCTAGTCTCCTGTGATGACAGAAATACCCAGTTATATCTCTCTTTTAAACGGTTCTCTCCCTCCTCTGTTTCAGTGCAGTATACATTATTGAACCCATCTTACTCAGTCTCTCCCCAACCCCAAGGACAGTCCCATTCTATAACAGTGGCATCATGTAATATTTGTCCTTTTGTGACTGGGATATTTCACTCAGCATAATGTACAAGAATGTTTTTAAAATGCAGAGTTAGATGATCATAGATTCCTGCTGACAAAATTGATGTCCAAATGTATATAAGGCTACATTAAAAAACAAGGGCATAAAAACTTCCTCACTTAAGTATAAAAATAGCCTTTTATGCTTCTCCTTCACTTCACAACCTGAGGTAATGACTCTTTGAGGTGAAATTCCTACAATCCTAAAGGCAGCATAGAGACTTAACTTAGACTCCAAGTGTCTGGATTTAATTTCTTCCTTAATAGTATAAGACAAGCCACATAGGGTCAGTTATTCCACCCCAAAAGTAATCAATCAGTTCGTAACCATTTCCCTGATTACGGTACCTTTTTTAGATAATGGCTGTTTAATGCTCCTTAACGTCTACGCCATAGTAATGAAAAAGCCTTTTTCATGATCTCATTTGAAGTGAGTATTAGCTTTTATTAGGCACGAGAATCATGAGGTACTCTTGAGGGAAGGGTAAGCGTTTGTCAGGCTTGTAGGAGATGAGAGTAGCCCCATCCTTCACCCCCAGAAGACCCCGTGCCCTAGTGCCTGTGGACTGAGTGGTGCTTTCTGCATGTGTCCTGCTAACTGACATGAGGCTAGGAGTGGTGTTTGTGTTGTAAACAGCTCTCACTTTGCTTTTGGTGACGCTCTTGGTCACAGAGAGATTCTCCCGGCGTTGGAAAATCCCATCTGACATACAATCAAGAGCCTGGTGCATAGACGGGACTAGTTCCTTAAACCTCACGTCCTCACATCGAAGGCAGAGATCGCAGTGGTACTCTCAGAAGGCTGCCGGGAGGAGGAAGTAAATCGTACATAGAAACTGCTGAGGTAGATCATGAACTGACACCTTCTTCATACCAACTCTGTGTTATTCATGTTAAGACTCGTCTGGAGAGTCCAAAAACCTACTTTCTAAAGAGAGTATAAAGTCTATTTTCTGGCAAGAAAAGAAAGCAGGGAATAATTTGGGGATTTAGGGAACTGAGAGAAGGATTTCAGATTAACATTTGCTCTGCATCTTTTTCACATTCACCTATTTGAGCCCTCAAAGGGCTACCCTTGTCCCCTGTTCTCTGACCCTACCTCTGGAAGGGTAAATGGAAAATACCCAAATGTACACAGACCAAATGTTCTAATTTAAGTGGCTAGAATGCAACTTCTAAGTGGCCAGTTTGCTGTTAACAGCTCTATGAGGCTATGGGTACCTTGGAGACCGTGATAAATGGGGTGCAGGGGTTTGTAAAAATCCAAGGCAAGTAATTATAGCACAGATTTCAGCATGTTGTGTAGACAGGAGTGACTCAGGGAGCGAACAGGCCAGTGCTTACAAGTGCCAAGTTGAAGCCCAAAGCTGAAACTTAGCTGTGACGTTGTCAGGGTTGCTCAGTGCACTTCAGCTTCCTCTTCTGCAAGAGAGATGAAGTGGGAGTAATACCTGCCTCATAGTGTTCTTGTGAAAGTGATTCCCAGCCGTGTTACTGATTCAATGAAATTTTGCTGCTGTTCTGATTCCTGTGAAAACAAAACAACATACAAAACCAGTGTTGAATTCATTCATCTGCACTGCCCTTTACACTGGGAAAGGAGCACTTAAGGAAAAAGCCGAAGTCTGGGCTGGTTAATATCCTGTGTTAGTCTGCAGGGCTGCACTAAAGCTTGCTCGTGTGTCTCTTATTTATACTTCGCTTCTCTGGAAGGCTGCTGTTCATGTCTTGCTCTTAAAGCAAAGGTTTCCCTTATTATGCTCTTTGAGGAAGCATGTTCTATCAATGTAACGTAAATATCCTTTGACTCGGAGGCAGATGGTACAGGTACAATAAATAAAAAGGGTGTGTAATAAATGGGAGCAAGAGAAAAAGGAGCTTTTAAGTCATGGGCTGGGATCAGGCTCCTTGTCCTCTCGTACCCCCAACCCTTGACATGCCATGGCTGCAGAATGTTACATGAGTTAATACTCCAACCTCAGTTTCTTCTCATTAAAATGAAATGATCTTAAAGGGTAATGAGGAAGATTGAGTGGGTGATACAAATAAAGGGCTTAGCTCAATAGCTAATGCACAGTAAACACATACTTAACTCGTTTAGCAAGTATTTATGGAACATCTGCTCTAGAGCAGGCTTGGGGGACCCCAGCAGTAAATAAGATAGTCAGTGGTCTCTGTGGGGAAAAATAGACTGTGTTAGCTGATTCTAGAAAGGGCCGTTTTACAACTCTTAAGTTGTGTGCTGCTGAGAGTAATACTCAAGAAGTCTTGTCAGTAGATACACAGCGAGGGAGGTAGCGGTCTGATGGTAGAATTCTAGAACCTTCCATGGAGGCTGTGAGGTTCCACTCTTCACCACTTTATATGCAGCTACCAGGCATTTGTCCCTGGGGGTTTGCTTACGTCTAAGAAGCTCTGGTGGCTCTGTGGTAAAGAATTGCACTGTCAGCACAAAGGTGCACAGTGTGAATTCCCCAGCTACTCGGTAGGAGAGGGAAGGGGACTCTGCCCATGCAAGTTACTGCTCTGCCAGTCCTCTGGAGGGTCAGCTGTGGGGTGGGTCCACCTCGATGGGACTCAACGACAACAGGATGGGAATTCTGGAGGCTTAATGGTAAGAAGCTGCACTGCCGACCCAAACGATGTGTTTCAAACTCGCCAGCGGCTGCATGGGAGAGAGAGGGCAGTCTCCTCTCATGTGTTACAGCCTCGGAAAACACACTGGAAGGTTTGCTATGAGTGAGTTTTGACTCAGCCATACATAACATCAGTAATGCTGAACAGGCAGGATTCTGTGGAGCTTTAGAGTAAGACCAATGAGGATGAAAAACCTGGTTTTCCAAATATCTGACAGTCAAAGCTGTGGCTCTAAATAGGATCTGAAAGCTATCCTGAGATGCTGCAGTGTCTCTTTGAGTTGTGCAT